TGCCGGCCCCCTGCTTGGGAGCCAGGAGAAGTGCAGACACTCCTCCTCCACCCCCCTACCCTCTTTCTGGAAACAGAGCACTCTGAACCTTCTTGTCTCCACCCTCTGGGTCTCTGTTCTCCTCCCGCCTTCCCACCCCCATTCCTCTGGATGGCTCCAAGACCCTAACCCTCAGGTCTCCTGTCCATGGCTCTGGCCGTCCCTACCCCTCTGCCAGCTGCTATAAGGAGGAAGCATTGCTGAGAGAGCCTGGAAGGCCGGGGAAACACTAACTCACCAGCCCCAGGAAGCCTCATCCCCTCCTCCAGGGTGCCTGTCGATCTCTTCCGGGCCACCCTCTCTCCACCCCGCATTTTCTCCTGTCCAGGGGGACCCACTGACTCAGGGACCTCAGCCCGAGCAGTCTCGAAGCTCCCCATCCGTAGTGCTCCCTGGGATGCTCCTGCCTCCCGGCCTCCCATCCCTGATCCTTTCTGCCCCCACAAGCCCGCCCTGCGGAGGCAGCCCTGCTGCCAGCCACAAGAGGGAGCAGGTCCGGGGAAGCAGAAGGGTAGGGGTGGGGGTCTAGGAAGGAGCACGGGTAGGGGAGAAAGAGGGAGGACAGGAGGGCGATACAGGGGCCATTTCTTCAAATGCTAATCAGCATCTTCCGGCAGTGCCACAAGAAGCTGAGCTGATAATGAGCCCAGCTCGGGGCTGATTCCTGATTAATGAAGAGGCCACAGGGATGCTGAGTGGGGCTGGGTGGAGCACATCCCTCATGGCCCTCCCCGCTGCCCTTGCAGACCAGTCCTCTGTAGCAGTAACAGCCCCTGCCCTTGGATGCTCGGCCACACCACTCCGATCCCCCAGGTCACCCACTCCACTGGCCAACGGGAAGCGGCCGGGCTGAGAGCGCCCCCTCCAGGAGGGCCTGAGGGTGGCAGCCGGCGCCGGGCAGGAGGTGGTTACCAGCATAATGGGTTCTAAAATTCAGGAGTTGTAGGTAGTCCTTGGAGTATTTTTTAAATCAGGAACATTTTTATTAAAATGATCAAGACTTGGGCTTCCCTGGATGCCCCCCCCAACACACACACACACACACACACACACACACAAAACCCCTGGGCATCCATCCCTGACCGAGGGCTCTGGTTAGCTGGGGCTGAGGAGCAGCTGCTCCCCTCAGGGATAAGTGATCTTCAGTTTTGTTCAGGCCGCACCGTTCCCTGCTGTGTGCCCTCCACGACCTGACCTGCCTGGCTCCCCGAAGGCAGGACCAACCCTGAACTAGATGTTGAACTAAATGTTCTCAACATTCATGCCTCAGGAGGGTACGGGGCCTGAGGGGACAGAGGGCTGGACGGAGGGTGAGGATAAGAGGTCAGCTTGCCTGCCCGGACCAACCCTGACGGGAAGCCCATCCCTTCTTGAGTCAAGGGGATGAGGGGCAGCCCTCAGCCCCTCTGGAGCCAGGAACAAAGGTTTGGAGTTGGCATGTTCTTGGGGGTAGCCCTCCCACAACCAAGGAGGCGGGACAGAGATGATCAGTATTGGTCTGACCATGCCAGGGACGGGGACAGGCTCAGGAGGAAGCTGGGATGGGCGGCAGGGGACTGCCGAGGATCTGGGGGCGGGCAGGGAGTGCTAGAGGGCCTCCCTGCTTGCTTCTCCCTCTGCCTCAGAGCTGTCCTGGCTGGCAGCTGGGTGGGGCTGGGAGCGAAGAGAGGAGGGCAGGGAGGGGGACTGCCCAGCTGGAAGAGGCCTTGTCTAATTGTGCCTGATTAGTAGAGAGGAAGAGAACAGGGCGAGTGATTAATAGTCACGGCAGTCACCAGCTAGTGGGTAGGGAGGGCTGGGAGCGGGAGGGAAGTCTGGGAGCCAAGAGGGGATGGAGGCCCACGGGTCCCTGGACATCTGCCCACCTAGGGACTGCCTGGACCACTGACGACCCTGCAGAGAGGGGCCGGATTCTACCTCTGCCTCCTCAAGGATTCTCCATGTCCCCCATGCTTCCATTTTCCAGACACTAGAATGGAAGAGAAAAGACCAAGGTCATGCCCCACACCTAGGAAGAAAGGTCTGTCTGCTCATGTGGTGTTTCCAGACACCCCGATGTCCCCAGACACAGACCCTAACCTCAGCCCAGATCGGAGATGACAGCACCAACCAGAGCCCACAGCCACCGCCTCCCATCCTTGGACCCCAGTTGGAAGTCCTAGCCCTGCCCATTGAGGTAGTCTGAGCCTCATTCCTTGGACCATGGAGAACTACACTGTCCCATACGGTTGTCCCTAGCCACATGTGAACTGTTTGAACTGACCATTCCTTTTCCCTGTCACACTGATCCCCTGTCAGATGCCCCGCAGCCAGTGTGGCCCGTGACTACCCTGCTAAACAGTGCAGATATGGACCCCTTCCACCATGCCCGAGGTGTCCGGTGGGAGAGCACTGAACTCGAGAGTGTGTGCACACACGTGTGCACATGCAGGAATATTTGGGAGGGCTGGGTCACAGGGCAATGCTGGCAAGGCTGCAATAGTGTAGGGGGGTTCAAATTTTTTAGGTCTTACTATTGTATTTATTGAATATAGAAACTGTAGCTCATGGAGGCTTTTTGAGTTCTCCAAGGCCACACTGCTTTAAGGGGAAAGCCGAAGTTCAAATCCAGCCAGTCTGGCTTGGGAAACCACACACTTGACCGCCCCACCATACACTCCCCAGCTGAGAGGCGATGCTGAATTTTAGAG